TTTGTTTTGGGGGTTTTTGCTGAGATTTCTAGTGGGTATATATACCCCATTGCTGATGTCTTTTCAATAGATTAAGAGAGTTTAAAAACAAGTTTAAGAAAGTTTTAATCAAGGGTCTATGTTTGGTTTAAGTGTGTTTATAAGCTTTTAAGCATTTGAGTGTTTTGGTTTTGTGAATCACTTCCACAAGAGCTTGAGGAGATCATCTATTGGTGTTTGAGCATCCAACTCTTCTCCTTCCACTCTTGATCTATTGAGAAGTTTTCTAAACTCAATCTAGCTTCATATTTTATATTGTTTGATTATCTTTTTATTAAGCTAGTGTTCATATTGAGTTTAGTTGATTTTATTATCTCTTTGTTCACACACAACCTATTGAGCTTATTGTATTTACATTCATAGTATAATTGGGTTGTGGGATTGTGTAACTTAGAGAGTGAGCTTATAATTTGTTCTCATTCATTGTAGAGAACAAATACTTTGTATTGAGCCTAATTGTGAGGATTCACTTGTAATACACTTGTACACCGAGAGAAGTGTGTGGTGAGAGACGGGGTCGAATCCAAGAGGAGTGGCGTCGGTTGACGTGCCTAGGGAGAGGTTGTAACCGAGCACTTGAGGAGGAGGACACGGGCTAGGACCAACACTTAGTGTGTGAGGTGTGATTGCATAGTGATTGTATTGTGAGGTGTAAACGTTGTTCGGGTGAACGTAGAAAACCCGGTTGTGATAGTGGAGATCTCCTCGAGGTGAGGAGCGGGGACGTAGGTCGTGGGGACCGAACCTCGTAAACATATCCTTTGTTTGTGATTGCATTGGCGCACTTGTTTTCATGTTCATATCTTACATCGCCATTGTGTATTGCTTGTTGATCATTTTGCCCTATCACATTTGTAGTTAATTTGTTTACCCCTCTTGTTAGTTTTATATCCTTGCACATACATTGTCTATATCTCTTTGTTAGGATATATCTTATTGTTTATATATCCTTGCATATATTTCTATCATATAGGATATATCACCTTGTGTATATTACATATTCTTGCACATAACTCTTTGTATATCTATCTTGCAAGAATATATTTGTAAATTAGTTTTAATTGGCATTTAAATCGGATTAGATTAGCATAAGACCCTAATCACCCCCCCTCTAGGGTCTAACAAAGGTGACAACTAACATCATTTCAATTTCATTTCTTTGATTTCCTTCTTTTTTAGCCAACCAAACACTCCAAAAACAATTCTTCATTTTAATAGTTTTCCATTTCTTTGATTTCCCTCTTTTTTTTAGGCAAACGAACAAGCCCTAAGATGAATACCCCCCTCGCCCCGAAAGTCCTCACAAAAAATAATCCCTTTTCCCCCAAAATAAAAAAAATTCTCTAAATTTTGAAATTTGATTCAAATTTACTTCTCAAAATCTACAATGAGGGGTTCGAAGAGGCCGCTGAGTCTAATATCGGGATGGTTCCGCCGGCAGCCGGCGAAGGTGAAGGCGTTCCTTGGCGTCGCTGTCGGAATCGCCACCCTTGTCTTCATCCGATCCGTCGTCGGAGGCTACAACAACCTCTTCGTCGCCACCGAGGCCAGTCACGTCGCCGGAATCTTGCTTCTCATTTATAAGCTCACAAAGGAGAAGACTTAAATTACATAGGAGATTCTGTTTGTACTATTCTTTGATTTACTAGGTTAGTATCTAATTAATTTATCTTCCGCAGCCTCATTTGTTTCATTGATCTAGTTACATGTTGTTTCTTCCATTTTAATAATTTGAATCCTTACTGATTATTTCATTCTTGTTTTCATTTATCTATTTTTCGACGGGAAATAGTTTTCATTAATCCTGTTCCGTCTTTCTGCAGGGCTCTCACTCAAGTCACAGGAACAAACAACATTGTTTTTAGCTATTAGACTTTACTGCAGCTTTGTTATGGAGTATGATATACACACGCTACTGGATTCTGCTACTCCCATGACAACTCTGTGGGTTATTTATATGATTAGGTTCAAACTGAAGTCTAGTTACATGTAAGATAAATGTATGAATCAGTGGATTGCAAATTGATTTGACACATGAAGTTTTTAATATTTGTTACTTTAACCTGTTTTGTTGCACTACTTTCAAATTTGATTTTTTTGATTTCTCACCTGTAATTAATATTAACTGATGTGTGTTGCTCTCTAAATTGGATGTAGGTGGTTCCTTGTACTTTATTAGCGCTTGGAGTTCATCCCTCAACGTCTCATAACCTGGTGAACAGGATTTCTGTCGGTGCTGCCTCAGTTACGCATGATGAAGAACACAAAGGTAAAATCTGCAACATGATTATGTTCATAATGGTCAGATATTTTTTGTATTTTTTTGGTCTAATGTTATTCTCTTGTGCCATAAAACAAATCGTCGAACCATTTAACGACACACTATGTGTTTGCTCTAGGAATTGCCAGGTTTCTGAGTTGTGCACACTGGGTCCTGCAGGTTTGATTAACCATAAAAGATAGCATATCATCTATATTGTCTTTCACTATTCTATTATTGCTTCCCCAATTGTCATTTTCTCAAGCCATCAACTAATATGTCAACCATATGTGCTAAGCTGATTAGTATTCTAAAATATATTACAGACAGCTTTCAGAGCCAAGGCAATGGAATATCATCCTGATCAAAACCAGGGTAATAAAGGTGAGTACTAAATTGATGTTTCAGTTTATTTTATTTTATTTTCCTTCTCCCTTTTTTGTCCTACCTAGCTAGTTTCCTCCACTTTATGACTCAATGAGTATTTCTGTTGCAGAGGCTGCCGAGGCAAAGTTTAAAGAAGTGATGGTTTCTTATGAAGCGATAAAATTAGAGAGGAAAAATGGACGGCCCTAAAGCTATTGTTGATTTAGCACTTTTCATTTTATTTCATTTTATTTTATTTTCCTTCTCCCCCTTTTATTTTATTTTAAGATGATGGTGCGTCTTGTTTCATGGGTAGAGTTACCTGTTCAAAAACTGTTGTAGGCTTTTGCCAAGCGTGACAAACATAGTAACGCAAGAATGTATTAGCGAAGTATAATTTTATCAACGTATTTGTTTTTGGCTTTCTTGCATTTATCGTAATTATTCAAGCATAGAGAACTTAATCTTGAATATAAGTACGTGGTCATACTATATATTTATGGGTGTTACATGATGTTGCAACTCTGGTGAAATTATATGTCGTGCAAAGTAAATTATTAAAAAAACTACTGTAGCATCCTAGACGAAAATTTCGTCTAGGATGTTTACATGTATCCTAGACGAAATTTCCGTTTAGAATATTATCCTAGACGAAATTCCGTCTAGGATATTATCCTAGACGGAATTCTCATCTAGGATACTATTCTAGACGGTTGTCTTTTCCGTCTATAAATATTATAGACGGTTTTTTATTCTGTCTAGGATGTATTTTCGTCTAGGATGGTTTTTCTAGACGGAATTCCATCTATAATGATGCATTCTCGATGGATCCTCACTAATCCAACATCCTAGATGGAATTCTGTCTAAGATAGCTAATTTAGATGGAAATCTAGCTATCTTAGACGTAAAATTCTGTCTAGTATGCTATGTTTTTGTGGAGAAGAATTGGAAAAAGCAGATTTTTGGTCATAAGTCGACTCATGCACAGGCATAAGTCGACTTATGGTAAGTCGACTTATGTTGGTGCATGAGTCGACTTACGTTCTGCTCTGGATTGTTGGTTTTTTGCTCTGCCAAGTCGACTTATCAGGTCTGATAAGTCGACTTATGATCTCTTCTCCAGTTGCTGTTTTTCGCTCTGCCAAGTCGACTTATGCAGACTGATAAGTCGACTTATGACGGGTTTTTTGGAAAGTTCAGGTTCCTATTTGCAGTCTGTTTGGGTTTCTGTTTTGGTATAAATACCAATACGATTTGAGGGTTTTGTGAGGAGAGTTTTGGGGTTTTGGAGCACAGAAAAAGAGAGATCTTTCTGAGCTATTTGTTAGGGTTATTGGTTGAGAGATTGAGAGATTTGTTGGTGAGATTAGTTGGTTCGTTTGAGCGATTTGTAATCTCAATTTGTACTCTCCTTCTCTATTAGTGAAAACCCACCCCCTTCTTGCCCCGTGGACGTAGGCAATTTGCCGAACCACGTAAAACCTTGGTGTTTGTGTTTTGTTTGGTCTTTCTCTCGGCGTTCGTTGGTTTGGTTTCTCAAAGCATCAGTCACAACAAGTGGTATCAGAGCACGGGCAACGCTTGGGCTATTTGGAGGAGTAGATCGCTTTGGAAGTTCATCTAGGGCTTCGTTTGGTGATAAAGGTGGGATCTTTTTTTGTAAAAATCTCGTCTTTTTCAGTTTGGATCTATTTCTCGTTTGTTTCCGCATTGGTTTGGTGGTGCCTTGAGGATTATGGCCGAGAAAGAAGGAGTTGTGGGCAGTACTTCCGGCGTGAAGACCGTCCAAAGCTTGAATATCCACTCAATGAAGATTGATGTGGAAAAGTTCAATGGCACAAACAATTTTGGACTTTGGCGATGCGAAGTCATGGATGCGCTCAACGCGCAAAATTTGGAAGATACGTTGGAGTTGGACGGGAAACCGGACAACATTGATGAGAAGGTTTGGAAAAAGATGAATCGAACGGCGTGTGGTGTGATTAGGTCTTGTCTCACTCAAGATCTAAAGTATGATGTGATCAATGAGACTTCTGCAAAGAAGATTTGGGAGATCCTTGAGAGCAAGTATTTGACCAAGAGTGTGGAGAATCGCTTGCATTTGAAGAGGAGGCTTTACCGCTTCCAGTTGAAGAAAGGAACCTCCATTGGTGATCACATGAACCACTACACGAAGCTTCTTGCGGATTTGGCGAATGTGGATGTTAAGATTGAAGATGAGGACAAGGCGTTGTTGCTATTGAGTTCCTTGCCTGACGAGGAATATGAGACCTTCGTTCTTACTCTTATTAATGGGAAGGCATCTCTTTCGTATAGTGAGGTCACCGCTGCACTTGTGAATTATCAGCTTCGAAAGAAGGATAAGGAGACTTCGTTTGAGCCGGTAGCGGGGGCGTTGGTCGCAAGAGCAAAGGGTCCAAACCGTAGTGGGAGGTCGCAGTCTAGAGGGGCACATCTTGGAGTTCGTAAGAATCAATGTGCCTTTTGCAAAGAAGATGGACATTGGAAAGCCGATTGCCCAAAGTTAGTTGATCGAGCCGGGAAGAATAAGGGAAAAGCTATTCAAGCTTCAGAGGCGAATGTTGTCAAGGCTAGTGGCAACGATTCAGATTCGGATTCTTCGGGCTACTCGTTATCTGCACTGCCGTCAGTTTGTGTTGCCTACTCTACAGAGTGGATATTGGATTCGGGTGCTACATACCACATTTGCCCTAGGAGGGATTGGTTCTCCAGCTTTCAGGAGTTGGAAAGAGGGGATTTCGTGCTCATGGGGAATGATCACAAATGCTCTATTGGTGGTATTGGTACTGTTCGGATCAGGATGAGTGACGGGGTGATTCGGGAGTTGGTTGGAGTGAGGTTCGTTCCTCAGTTGAAGAAGAACATCATTTCACTTGGAGCTTTGGAGGCAGCTGGCTATAGGGTGACCTTGGCGGATGCACGCTTGAAGGTTACATTTGGGTCCATGATTGTGATGAAGGGCGTCAGAAGAAGAAATTTGTATTATTTGCACGGAAGCACGGTGATTGATAGGGAAATGACGACTTCATCAGATTCGGCTAGACTGTGGCATTGTTTGGTGCTGGGGTATATGATTGGTAATACCGTGCATTGGTTGTTGAGGAGTGCTATGACCTGCAGATTGAAGTCCTGTGAGCACATTAGGATGAGCGAGACCGTGGTGGAGTTTGGCACTTCTATCCATCGAGCGAGGGGTCTTTTTGGAGGTGTTCAGTCAGGCATTTGGGGGCCTTCCAAGGAGGCATCATTGGGAGGTAATCGTATCTTGGTTTCCACAGTTGGTGATTGTTCTAGGCATTATTGGGTCGCGACCAGTTCCCGTTGGTGTAAAGTCCTAGAAGTCAACAACAATTGGAAGAAGTGTATTGGCAGAAAGGTAACTCATTGTTTCAGCTTTGGTAGGGGTCCTTTCTTGCGTTGGTGCCGAGCTCACGGCAATAGGAGACACTTCATTGGTGTGGAGACTTTGGGGCGACGAGATGAGATGACAGTTTCGATGGGTCGTTCCTTTCTGGAGGAGGATCGGCGTTTGATGTCGAGCATTGGCATTGGTGTGCGGGCTTCGACATATTTGGGTCATCTTATGCATAGGTCGCCGACTGCTGCTTTAGGAGTTATTAGATCTGGTGGAGCTGCTTCAGATTTTGGGTCGCGTCGGATATTTGGATACCCAGCATTTGGTCACATCGTGGATGTGAGATTGGATCCGATTGCGCGTTTGGGGTTCGGAGGCTCAGTTGATTATCGTTTGGGAGCTTCTGATTTTGTTCTGAGCAGGTATGTCACTTTTGACTCTCGGCAGGTGGAGAGTGTTGATCAGGTCATTTGGATATCGCAGCAGGTGGAGAGTGATGCTACTCCACGTTGGGTGGAGATTACTCCACATACTCCAGATCATACTGCGTCATTTGGGATTCCAGCTAAGGTGACACAGGTTGGAGATCATTTGGTTTTGGATGCAGATGATGGATTGGTTTTGGATTCAGTTGCAGCTGGTAGATATAGTTTGGATATGGCCATTGGTTTACCTCAGGTGGAGGTGTTTGATTTGTCTCAATTTGGGGTCATTGGGAATACTATCAGTTGCAGATCGTTTGGTGATATTGGAGAAGAGTTGCAGACTTTTCTATTTGATTGAGGGCCTTTGGAGGCCGTTTGGGTGAACTACGTGAAGGCTTGATTCCTTGGGCAAAGGATACGTAGGCAGTCATTTTGATGCAGCCGATTTGGTGAGCGACATCGACATTTGGGGTGAGTGTTCACACTCTCATTTGGGTCTCAGCATGTGAGGCATTTGTTTGGTTGGTGTCGGCTCAGTTTTGGGAAAACTTCGCCGAGGTGGAGAATTGTGGAGAAGAATTGGAAAAAGCAGATTTTTGGTCATAAGTCGACTCATGCACAGGCATAAGTCGACTTATGGTAAGTCGACTTATGTTGGGGCATGAGTCGACTTACGTTCTGCTCTGGATTGTTGGTTTTTTGCTCTGCCAAGTCGACTTATCAGGTCTGATAAGTCGACTTATGATCTCTTCTCCAGTTGCTGTTTTTCGCTCTGCCAAGTCGACTTATGCAGACTGATAAGTCGACTTATGACGGGTTTTTTGGAAAGTTCAGGTTCCTATTTGCAGTCTGTTTGGGTTTCTGTTTTGGTATAAATACCAATACGATTTGAGGGTTTTGTGAGGAGAGTTTTGGGGTTTTGGAGCACAGAAAAAGAGAGATCTTTCTGAGCTATTTGTTAGGGTTATTGGTTGAGAGATTGAGAGATTTGTTGGTGAGATTAGTTGGTTCGTTTGAG